CCACGAAAGCTTATGCTCTAATAAATTTGTTAGTCTCTAAGGTGCCACAAGTCCTCCTGTTCTTCTTATTACTCTTTAGTTTATCAATTTGTTCCAAAACCTTCTCTAATGCATCTGGGCCAGTTCCTCATATCTGTCACTTAAAAAGAATGGCTCAGGTTTGGGAATCTCCCTCACGTCATCAGCCGTGAAGACCGAAGCAAAGAATTCATTTAGTTTCTCCACAATGGCCTTATCGTCCTTGGGTGCTCCTTTAGTATCTCCATCATCCAGTGGCCCCACTGGTTGTTTAGGCATCCTGCTTCTAATATACTTAAAGAATTTTTTGCTATTATTTTTTGAGTCTTTGGCTAGTTGTTCTTCAAATTCTTTTTTGGCCTTCCTAATTATATTTTTACACTTCACTTGACAGAGTTTATATTCCTTTCTATTTTCCTCACTAGGATTTAACTTCCTTTTTAAAGGATACCTTTTTGCCTCTCACTGCTTCTTTTATTTGTTGGTTAGCAACAGTGGCACGTTTTTGATTCTCTTACTATGTTTTTGAATTTGGGGTATACATTTAAAGTTGAGCCTCTATTATGGTATCTTTAAAAAGTTTCTGTGCAGCTTACAGGGATTTCACTTTTGGCACTGTACTTTTTAATTTTTATTTAACTTCCTCATTTTTGTGTAGCTCCCCTTTCTGAAATTAAATGCTACTGTGTTAGGCTGCTGTGGTGTTTTTCCTGCCACAGAGATGTTAAATTTAATTATATTATGGTCACTATTACCAAGCGGTCCAGCTATATTCACCTCTTGGACCAGATCCTGTGCTCCACTTAGGACTAAATCAAGAATTGCCTCTCCTCTTGTGGGTTCCAGGACTAGCTGCTCCAAGAAGCAGTCTTTTAAGGTGTCAAGAAACTATCTCGGCATCCCATCCTGAGGTGACATGTACCCAGTCAATATGGGATAGCTGAAATCCTCTTTTTTTTTTTTTTTTTTTTTTTATTAGCCTCTAATCTCCCTGAGCATTTCACATGACACCACGTGGTCTAAAGCTTTCAAGACAATGGAGAATATATAAGTGGGGAACAAGAAAAACTGAAGGTATGTTTCCCTCTTACCAGCATATGCCAGTCTGACAATAGTGGCTTCATCTTGGGCTAAATGTGCTATGCCTGGCAAAATGTATTCTGGGTAAATATTGATATCATTGCGTGGCACCTCCTTGACAAGAGCAAGAACTTTAGTCAGTGTCCTCACAGCTTCTGCCCTCACCCTAGGCACAGAGTCATTGCTGAAATGTAATAGATAAGGCATAATACGATCCAGCAGAATCTCCACACTTAATCTTGGTGCTAAATGCAGAATCAGTTCCAAAGCAGCCAGTTTTGAATCACAGTATTTGAGAGTCTGTAAACAGGAAGTTATCACAGACACTAGAACAACTAGCCCATTCTCTTTTGTCTCTCCCTCTGCTTTCTCTGTTCGATCATGTCCACAGAGATTATGAATAATGTTATCCAGATCTTTACGTATGACAAGTATACGCTCATCTGCTGATAGGAATGTTTCCTTGGCAAACTGTGCCATGTAAGGCTGGAGAAAGGTGTAAAATATTTCAGGAAATGCATTGTTACGTTGTTGTTTTAAGTAATCATCTGCTCCTAAACGTTTATCTGGCTCACAGTGGATCATCTGAGTGACCTGCAGAGAGGTAGTGGGTGGAGGGAGAGTGGGAGAAAAAGATTACAAGGTTTAGAAATGAATGATAAGTTATCCCCAAAACAGTCAAAACCAAAAGCAGAAGAAATAAGAGGGCTCTACAGAATGCAGTGTTATTTACCAGTTCTCTGATACTGCGATCTTCAATTTTGTTCAGGACTTGATCAGGGGAGAAAAGACCATTTCTATAGGCCAAAAGCTGAGATAAGTCAAACAGTGGTACACCTTCTGTGAAGAGCTCTGCTATTACACAGCCTGCAAAATATCAAATATGATGTCTGAGCATTACAAAATAGATACTCCTCCTTTGCTGTCAATGCAAAAACAAAAATAAGTTTTACACGATTCAACTGATTACAAAAATCTAAAGGGATAAAAGAGTGTGTCCAAAGAGCTATTTTAAGTTTAATATCTCTGTATCAAGAAAACCCCCACAGTTGCTTTAAAACATGATCCCTACATTTCAAGAGTACAACGTCTTAGAAGTATATTTCATATATTTCAACAGCCATAGGGTGGTAGCATGAAGCAACATAAAGCACTTGCATTTTTTAGCTGGCAGGTGCTTGAAGCAAGACCAGAAAAGGAAACCACATCACTGTCATGTGGCAGAGTAACTAATCAACCAACCAAGAAAGCACAGAGTAACCAGCCCTCCTCAGGAAGTGACTGAAGGACCTCTGCTTCTGTGGTGATGCTCAGTGATGGTGTTTGTCAACTATGGGTATGTCTACACTGCAGCTAGACACCAGTGGCTGGCCTGTGCCAGCAGACTTGGGCTCCCCAGGCTCGGGCTGTTTAATTGCAGTGTAGATGTCCAGACTTGGGCTGGGACCAGGCTCTAAGATCCTCTGAGATAGGAGGGTCTCCCAGCTCGAGCTGCAGCCAGGGCTGGAATGCCTACATCAGAGTTAAATAACCCCGCAGCCTGAAACCTGCGAGCCCGAAACCTGCGAGCCCGAGCCAGGCCAGCCACTGGTGTCTAATTGCAGCGTAGATGTACAACCTTACTTATTTTAGGATATTTTGAGCAGTAACATTAAGATTGGGGCAGAAACCACCCAAGATTGCCAAATAAACACAATTATTAGGTCATGTTGCGTACACAGAACTACAAAAGTATTCTTTTCAAAGACTTGAATACCAATCCTGCAACTTAATCCACTTGGGCAGAATCCCACTAGAGTCAATAGGGCTCCACAGATATCTGCCCATGTGGATCACACTGCAGGATTAGGGCCATAGATTTTTAAATTCAGATCCCTAGTTACACAAAAAAAGAAAAACGAACAGAGACTAAACCTTTCCAGGTGGTCTCTCGAGACCATAGTTGAAGCACATTAGCGTGGCAATTTGCAGATCCACTGCTCAGATACATCACCACGGTATCAGAGTGCCTTTGTAAGGTTTTATATTGCACAAAAATATATAGATTTTGTACAGTACTTATCCTGTGACTAGAAGGCTCTGGGGTCAATACTAAAGTTGGGGTGGGGGGGGGTTGTTTTGTTCCCCCCGCCTCCCTCCAATCTCCCTAAATTCTTTAAGCTTCTTCTTATAAAAAATCCCTACCCAGTTGATGCAAAACTATAAATGATGTATAGTTCTCGATTGATCACCCCAATACCTGCAGAAAAGATATCCATTGCACGTTTCAATTCTCCTCTGGTTCGCTGATTGCTGTTTGCCAAGTCTACCAGTGGCATTGAAGGATCTTTCATATTCTCCAACTCTGTAGAAAACATACTGCCGTCAACAAAGCGCTCAGGGGCAATATAACAAGTCCTTCTACGCGACGTGTCAAAGAAATAATTGAAGTCAGCAGGATTGTCCTCAGGAAGATAAGTTGGTTTAAAACTGGCAAAGTCAGTTAGAAGCACCCAGTTCCAGCTAGTCACCATAACGTTTTCAGTTTTGATGTCCCCATGACGGACTCCAGACTTGTGTGCTTGGTCCACAGCAGTCAAGATCTGGAAGGCTATCCACCTCTTTTCAATGTTATTTAGGAATGGCCTAGTACTGATTCGATCATAAAGGTTGTCCCTCACATACTGTCTGAAGAGCATAGCTGCTTTTTCAGACAAAGTGGCCTTCTGAAAGGGAAGACAGTTCTGTGCAGAGTGTAGCCTTATCTTCAACTCCTCTAGCTCTTGCTTGTAGCTAGTTAGTGGTAAAGTTGGATCCTGAATTGCAAATACCTTCACAACCACCAGGCCTTCCCTGTGCTTGGCCCGAGCAACTTTAAAAAACCGAGTACTCCCCAGGCTTTTGTCATATTCAAAGTCATGGATGTCTGAGAAATAGCTGTCCACAGACAGGATCTGAGACGGGGCAATGCCAGCCAGCTGATTCCCCATGATGGCACCTCCTATTGTAGGAGTCAGCACTTCACAACTGCACCTAGAAAACAATTCAAATAATATCTTATATTTCTATAGTGTCTTTCACCTCAAAGTATCCAAATATTATTTACAAAAGGTAGAGTCATGTAGAAATCATTTCAAATGACACACAAATGCAGCCATTTCTACTCTGGAGTGGAATGTGGCAGCTATTTAATAGCTCCTAGGACTGAAAGCTGTTCCTTGACTTTTTATTCATAGTTCATACTCCTGTAGTACTGTACTTGTTTTCTTTGTGTGTTTCCCATTATTTTTGAGAAACACTTAATACAGCTCCACCCTCATTGCTCCCTTTGATGAGCCCAGGATTTGGCCTTTCCTTGTGCAATGAAACCAGAGTTTGGTTGATAGCTATGCTGGACCAAGTTCTGCCCTGGCATGAGCAAGTGTATCTCCCACTGAAGTAAAAAACCACTTATTCCAGGAGCAAATGTGGCCTAGACTCTCCAGGGACAATACTGGCAACTGCACTGATGTGTCTGGAAAGCCCTAGGGTCTAAAGGTATCAACATTCCTACCCACATCCGACAGCTACTCCCTCAGTCAGTGAATTAGAGATTAATCTACAGAAGGAAGCTTCATCCTTTGGGACATTTGCAACAAGCCAGGCACAAAGAATGAGGGAACAAAGGGAGCCCATTGGAACATTCATGGTCAATCCTGCCTGAAGAAGCAGGGCTGGAATGTGTGCCAGACTAAACAAGGTTTAGTGTCTCTATTAGATTTGATTTCCAGAGTCACCTCCTCCCCCTCACCCTGTGCTCATATCAGGCATGACCTACACTCCTCTCCCATGCGACACCCCACCCAAGTCTCACCTGATCCACTCCCCAATACTCTCCTCTGGCAACAACCCCCCTACTCCCCATCTCAGCCAGCGCCTACCAGACCCAGCTCTGGCAGCATCCCCACCCAGCTCCCCATCACCCAGCTCCCACCTGACCCCCTCCCCCGTGGCAGCATCTCCACCCCACCCAGCTCCTCACCCTGCTCTCACCTGACCCCCTCCCCCGTGGCAGCATCTCCACCCCACCCAGCTCCTCACCCTGCTCTCACCTGATCTCCCTCCCCAATACTCCCTGCCCCCCGTGGCAGTATCCCCACCCCCACTATTGCCTTCACTGCTGCTGCTACAGCCCCCCCGACACACATCCCCCCCCAGCGGTAAGTGGAACAGGAACCCGCGAAAACACCAGCCGACCCCTCCCCGTCACTCACCTGGGGGCCGCCCCCGCCGGGCCTGAGGGGACCCGGGAGCCCCCGGCTGCGGGGTGGAGGGAGCCGGGGCCGGGACGCCTCTGGGGAACCACTCTGCTACGCGGAACCGGCAACCATGACGCAGGGGGGCAGGGCGGCGCTGTGAGCTCACATCCGGCTGGGCTCCGTCACCGCCCCTCAGGCCTGCGGGGGGGGGCTCCGGCTACAGGGACCCTGCCAGGCTGCAGCCCCCGGCCAAAGCCCCGCCCCCGGCCAGGCTGTGGCGCGCGGGACACCCAGCCCGCGGGGGCGGGACTGGCGAGCTAGAGCAGGCGGCCCCATGACATACACCCCCACACACCTCCCCTCTGGAGGCGGGATTAGCCCCTTCCCCGAACCGAACCCCTGGGAAAGCCGGGGAGTGTTGCCAGCTCGCCTGTCCTGGCCCCCTGTGGGGTCGTTCTGAAAGCCCCGGCTCCTGGAGTCCTGTGATGAGGGAAGGCTCTCAGCTTTCATTGCAAAAAGGGGTCTGGCCCTGGGGGCGGCTGAGACAAGCTGGGGAAGGTGACCCTTGAAAGCTCAAAAGTGAGACACCAAGTTATTTGTTTCACTTATAGCATGTTTGTTGTTTTGTTTTGTTTTAAATCTCATTATTTTAGAGCCTAACATAAGTGTGAAGAGGTGGGATATAAGGTCACGCTAAAGTGTATGGTACTGTTCGGCCGTTAGGCGTCACATACCTGATTTCAGCTCTCCTCAGCCCAGAGTTGCCAGAGCAGTACAACAGTGAACTCATCTGGTGTCTAGCTCTCTGTGAGACAGAAGCGCTATAGTCAGTCTATAGCTGATACAGGAGCTGGGCCTGCTAGTAGCAACCCTATCACCTGCCAGGTGGAAGTGTATGACCGGGAGCACGACTAGTGATTTTTGAACACGTGGGATTGGCAATGTTGCAGAGAGAGACTGTAACACACCTTTCAAAGTCCTTGTTCCTCTTTCTCCTAGGGGGAGAGGATGGAGCAGAGAGATTACAACGCACCTAACAACGTCCTTCCGCCAGCCTTAGGAGGGACTGTAACACTAACAATACCTCTCACCAGTCCCCAGCAAGACAGGATGAAGAGACTTTAACAGTCAGCAAAATTTCCCTTCTCTCTGGGGATTGAGGATTCTGTAACTCTCTTTTACTCCTTTTTTCCCTCTCAGAGTGCCCCTTCTGCTTCTGCTAGTCTTTGCAATGAGGAACAAAAAAGCAGCAGCGACTGGTCTCCACAGCACCATTTATAAGTAAGGGCTAGTCAAAATGTTTTGAATGCAAAGCTTTTTCAGCAAAAAAAATAGAAATATTTTGGGAAAGCATGTCAATATTTTGAAATGTTTGTTTTATCAAAAAATCACTTTCAAAACTTTTCCCAGTATTGTTTAATTTGCCACACTGTAACTTTTGATTGGTGTATTTAGTCACATATGGGTATCTTGTTTTCTTGAGTGGATGGGTATAATCATAAATACTTGGACAGCATGTAATTAAGTCATTTGAACTATGCCTTCCAGAAGACAAGCTGATTGGTTGGCTCCCTCACAAAGAAGCCAGAATAATCAACAAGGCCAGGCTATATGATGAGACTGACCTGTTAGTGGTTACAGGGCTGTTGGTTCCCCCCACGCCCCTAAAAAAAATCTTTATAGGAGCAGGCAGTGGTGGTACGTTTCCTGTAGGAAACTCACAATTTTTGTTGGGCTTTTTTTTGCTTTTAACTCCTCTACTTTCAACTTAAGAGGAAGGACTGCAGCAGTGAGGTGCAATACAGCACATTCTCCTCTCCTGCAGTTGATGCTGAAGTTACTGGGATCAGGATGAGGTGATAGGCATCTTCAGCATCCCTTAATGCCTGTCATGGGTGCATCTGTGCTCTTCTAGGTCAACCAAATGGGGAATTAGCTAGCCCATTCCTTCTCCCCATGTCCAGGTTTAGATGTTAAAGAAGAAATGATCTAGTAGAAAGGCCTATGCTTTTACTTGAGTCCTGGTGGATTTCCAGTAGGTTTGTCCTACTTACTCCTCTGTGAGGCTTAGAGAAGAATTTATTTTCATACGTTTGAGATATAAGGAAGAGTCTCTTCAGGTGGCTTTTGGTTATTTTGGGGAATTGTCCTGAGACTTGTTTCTTTTTAAGAACTGTTCTGAATATAAAAATCTCCATTCTATATTTTTAAAACTGAGAAATGGGATTAATTCCTTCCTTGATACTTTTCTTCTTTCATGGCATGGCTCTTCTTGATGAATTTTCTCAAACCTAGAATGAAATAGAAAGTAATCTTGGTTACCATTTTAGTTTGAAAATGAATGTGAACAGCAAGAAGCCTGGGATAGGATTAGGGAAACTGTTTTCTGTTTTTGTTGGATTCTTCCTTCAGCTGCCTGTTGGTTTCATGTATCAGAGGGGTAGCAGTGTTAGTCTGAATCTGTAAAAAGCAACAGAGGGTCCTGTGGCACCTTGCACCTGAAGAAGTGAGGTTCTTACCCACGAAAGCTTATGCTCCCAATACTTCTGTTCGTCTTAACGGTGCCACAGGACCCTCTGTTGTTGGTTTCATGGTATAGTGCTCAGTCCTCTGGACTACCATTTATAGTCCAGGTTTTGGTATGGTCTAATAGGTAGAGCAGGGAATGTGGAGCCAGGTCTCTTGGGTTCTGTTTTCAGCTTTGAGATCAAGTGTGATCCAACAGATCCAAACTTCCTGCTCTGATCTCTCTTGCTTCTAATGCAGGGGTGGGCAAACTACGGCCCGCGGGCCAGATCTGGCCCGCCAGCTGTTTTAATCGGCCCCCGAACTCCTGCTGGGGAGTGGAGTCTGGGGCTTTCCCTGCTCTGGAGCTCCAGCCGGGGAGCAGGGTCAGCGGCCACTCCATGTGGCTCCCGGAAGCAGTAGCATGGCCCTGCTCCAGCCAGGGGGAGCAGGGTCGGGGGCCGCTCCATGCGGCTCCCAGAAGCTGCGGCATGGCCCCCTCTGGCCAAGCAGCTCTGCATGCTGCCCCCACCCCAAGCGTCGCCCCTGCATCGCCCATTGTCCGGGAATCTCAGCCATTGGGAGCTGCAGGGGCGGTGCCTACGGACGGGACAGCGTACAGAGCCACCTGGCTGCACCGCCATGTAGGAGCCAGAGAAGGGACATGCTGCTGCTTCTGGGAGCCATTTGAGGTAAGCACCGCCCGGCCTGCACCCTTGAGCCTCTCCCTGTGCCCCAACTCCCTGCCCCAGCCCTGATCCCCTTCCTGCCCTCCAAACCCCTCGATCCCAGCCCAGAGTACCCTCCTGCACCCCAAACCCCTCATCCGCAGCCCCATCCCAGAGCCTGCACCCCCAGCCGGAGCCCTCACCCCACTCCAATCCCCTGCCCTCCGCACTCCAATCCCCCGCCCTAGCCCGGAGCCCTCTCCCGCACCCTGAATTCCTCATTTCTGGCCCTACCCCAGAGCCCGCACCCCCAACCAGAGCCCCTGCCCACTCCTGCACCCCAACCCCAACTTTGTGAGTATTCATGGCCCACCATACAATTTCTATTCCCAGACGTGGCCCCCAGGCCAAAAAGTTTGCCCACCCCTGCTCTAATGTCATGAATCTGTTTTCTTGTTTAGGTCACTATTCGTACTCATATGGCTTAACATGTTGTATTTGAAATGGAAACAGCTGATTTGGGATAGTACTACGTAGGGAATGATGATGGACATGGGCCTGTCTGGCAAATCTTCAGTTTTTGTTCCTTCCTTGCCCCTTAAAACATTTTAACATAACTGGAATGATGATGCTTGTACTTGTTGTGAAGTTAGAGGGTGGTAAATCCAGTGGTTTAATAATCTTCTTTGTTTTAAAACAAAGCAAAGTGTCAAATGGCCTAGAAATACAATAGATACAGGTAAATAATGTTAAGTGGCATAGATATTGTTCTGTAGCCTGAATGACCTTCATTTCTTAATTTTTAACGTCACTAGCTGAAGAGTAGCTGCCAGAATTTTGTTTGTCCCATTGTATAGACAGCCTATTGGTATTTGAGAACAAAGGTACTTATCAATTAAATCAGATGCATGAAGCCTATTTGAAAATGCAAATTTGTACATGTAGGCTATCAGAAGAAAATAATGCTGTTTAGAACACTGAAATCACCATGGTAACTATTTAATCATCTTTTAGTATTTAATATCCCTAGATCATTCTTTTCCCAAACCAATTAAATTATGATAGTCTGAAAGAAATATCCTTTTGTAGTTAAAGAACAGGATTAGGATCCAGGATTCCCAATTCTATTCCCTGTTCTGATCCTGACTTCTTGTCTGGCCTTGGGCAAGTCATTTCTCCTTTTAACATCAGTTTCCCCAACTGTGAAATAGAGTTAATGATACTTACCTACCTGGTGCCTCGGGAGGACTAATTCAATACAGTTAGTAGCTGGCTTTTAAGGTCTTTGGATGGAAAGTGCCGGATAAGGGGTAAAGTATTTAATAAAGAAGCTTGGTAAGCAATTGGAAGCAAAATGTTGGATTCTGGAACCTGCTTTGAAATCACCATCTTTAAGCCACCGTTTCAAGTCTGCGCCTTCTATCCTAGAGTGTTTCTGTCTCCTAAGGAGACCAAGCAGATGCTGCATGACAGGGAATGTTGTGAAGCCCAAAACTATAAATGGGTTCAAAAAGAACTAGCTACGTTCATGGAGGATAGGTCCATCAAAGGCTATTAGCCAAGATGGTCGGGGATGCAACCCCATGCTCTGGGTGTCCTTAGCCTCTGTTTGCCAGAAAGTGGGAGTGGATGACAGGGGATGGATCACTTGATGATTGCCTGTTCTGTTCTATTCCTCTGAAGCAATTTGCATTGGCCACTTTTGGAAGACAGGATACTGGGCTAGATGGACCATTGGCGTGACCCAAAATAACTGTTCTTATGATTTCTGTTCTTTTCATCCTTGAACAGCTCTTGTACAACCTGTATTGTCTGACATCTGAATGAAAATAAGATCTACAGCTTCAGAATGTGGAGAAGGGTGCAGTTTCCCTGGCATGAAATATCTGATACATTTTCAGAGAGACAAGGTGGGTGAGGTAATGTCATTTATTGAACCAACTTCCAATATTACTTCTTTAGTATTCTGGGACCAACACAGCTACAGCAAATTTTCAGAGGGTCATTTTGCCCCTTTTTCCCTTATTTTAACTGTTTAACATAACAGTGAAAGACGTATTTTTCATACTAGTTCTCTTTCTGGCTTTATTCGATATTTATTAATCTCTTCTTCCTGGGTGTTGTAGGTCTGAAACGCCTAAACCATGTTTTCAGCCACAATAGAGATAAGAATAGTCATAGTATATAACAACTAAAGTCATACAAGGACACTACACGCTCTAGGATATAAATACCGGGAAACCCCAGAGAGTTGCAGCCTTGGCCAGCAAGTAATTCTAGGACTCTTTCTTTGGGAAATGTTTCTTTGATGCATACCAATGGCACAGTTCTTTGCTCTTTAGAAGTACCATGACAAGGCAGGAAAAGCTCTCTTGAGTCAGGATGCCTCCTCACTGGGAACTGCTATATCCCCATCTTTTCTTTGCTTCTAAAGATGCTTCAGCGTTTAGAAGAAATACATTCACTCCAGTCTCTCAAGCTTTTCTAGTTTGCTAGAAATTCATTTAGACTTATTCCTTTTTCTCATTTAGCTCAAGTGATCGAGATCCTGGATTTCTGAGCAGTAGATCTAAGTTCTGTCCCCACTGAGCTTTATATTGTCCCATCATTGATCATGATGAACCTTTTTTTCTGTTCCAGCAGAATGGGAGACTCAGGCCATGTCTACACTATACATTTTTGTTAGTATAGCTGTGTTGGTTGGTGTGTGCAGAGGTGTGATTCCTGACCCTCTTAGTTGAAGACTCTCTTTAGCCTCCAAGATTAAGCTGTATTTCATCCCTCCCATCCTATTATCTCTTCACTAGAGATCATGAGAAGTGGTCTTTATGCCGGTGACGGGCTGACAGACTCCAGAGAGCTGACTTCAGGCTTGCGTATCATGCAGAATCATCTGAACATTTTATGTGTGACTTGTTTTATACAGTATTGTTATTTAGACTCCCAGTTTAATTCTAGGCACATAAACAAAATAGTTCTCTTCGGGGATGCATCACTTGATCTGTGAGTGAATATTGCAGGATAGCACAGAAACATTTTGGCTGGGTTTTTATCTAAAAACAGCACTTCTGTGCTAAATGAACTAGGACTGATAAGCTTCACTTAGGGAGAAGGAGCCACCTGAAACTTGTTTTAAACAGACTGGTTGCCTTTCATACAGTCAACTTTCTCTATTCATTACAGGAGAAAACGGCGCTTCATAGCCTCTAGGTGGCAGTGGTTCTTTACCATTACTAATCATTACCAGGAACAGAAGTGCTTATCCATATTGTCTCTCCCTCCCTGAGAAGTGTTGTCATGATATGCTCTAGGGCTAATCTACACTACCTGCCCGGATCGGCGGGTAGAAATCGATCTCTCGGGGATCGATTTATCGCGTCTCATCTAGACGGATGAATCGATCCCCAAATTGATGCATGTACTCCCACCTTGTCAGGAGGAGAAAGCGCTGTCGACGGGGGAGCCGTGGCGGTCGATTTGCCGCCATCCTCACAGCGGGGTAAGTCGAATAGGTTGAAATTTGCGTAGCTGAATTTGCGTATCTTAAATCGATTTCCCCCTCCCCCCCCCAGTGTAGACCTAGCCCTAGTGTTACCAGCCTTACCAGACAGCTATATTTGGAAATGCCTCATAGCTCCCCAGAAGGCCAAAATCTAAAAAATTAAGTTCCATGCTTGTTTGAAGAGATGTAGGATGAAATGTATTGCTGTGAACAGAGAACCAAACCTTCAATTCCTGTATTCCTAATTAGCATTTGGAAAGGATGAATTCAATTACTGGCATCTCCTCAAAATTTGGTTAGAGAATGCTTTCCACAAGCTCTATACCCTTCCAAAACATGAATAATTCACCAGTTCCTGTGGTTTTGGCTCAATTTTCCTTCCTAGGATGGAATGAGTCGCTGTCTCAGTAAGGAATCACTTCTACTGTCAGTACTACTGGTAGGTGGTATAAACTGTTCTAGTGCCTAACTATGAAAGTCGTATTGGGAAAAGGATGAAAAATCCCTTGTCAAATGCATGAGCGCATGCTGATTCAATTAATTACCCAGGATTGAAATTCTGTTGGAGAGAGAAAGAGATGAATTAGTTACCAGTTAACCTGAGGTAGCAGGTGTTGCTAAATACATGACTCAATGCTGGTAGATGGGCGTTGGCTGGTGGCTGTAAAGCTTGAGCCAAAGTAATGGTAATCCCTTGGACAGAAGATTGATGTATGAGCTGTTTAGGGATAAGCACAGGTTGGAGAAGGGCTATGAGATAGCAGCAAGGTAGCCAAGTTTAACTGATTTACTGCCTCAAATCCTATGCATCAAAGCAAACTTAGAACAGCAACATTTGAATACAAACTTTCAAACACCACCCTCTTTCCCGCCCCCCCCCCCCTCCAAAAAAAGTTTCAGTGTCCAAATCTGGAGTCTTGGTTCAGCCTATCATAGAGGCCAGCCACAAAATTTGGCTCCAAACCCAAGTCTGAATTCCAAACCCAACACCACCAAAGTTTATGGATGTTCAGGTTTGGGAGGACAGGGGCTGGTTCAGGCCCACCTCTAGGATAACTGTTGATGGTCTGCCATTGGATCCCTGGGAGACCCCGTGCAAGAGAGAGCTAGTCACCTGGGATGCCTGTTTGCCTTGGGGATGCTGCTTCTTGACTTGTTATATTGAAATAGAAGCCCATATTTTGATCCTAATCTCCATAACTTTCTGCCAATAAACAGGGGGGGTTTTAAGCAGAAATTTACATGCAATTTCACCTCCCACACAGTCCAGTCACCCCACCTGCTTCATCTTGTGCAGTAACTAATAAAAGAACAGCTGCCATGGCTACTGTCGCTATATAAACTCAGGGGAAAGCTCTTCAGATTTTAAGGCATGCCTAGAGCAGATGATTAAACAACATTTTATTTATTACAGAGAAGCCATAAATTAGAGCAGAAACATACCATGCCTCTGTGTGGGTTTCAGGTTTACAAGTATGTACTTCAAAAATAATTGAAATATGGGTAAAACAGCAAAGGAGTGAGAGAATAAGCAGGGTAGAACTCTGGGTGGAACCCTCATTATTAAATCTAGTTATAATTAATCTAGTAACGGCCGCATGTAGTTTTCTATGTAATAGTACACTGGTCAGAGATGACGTGTTTAGAGAACCTTTTCAACCCATTTCCAGGCATTCTCATTTCCAGTAGTCTCATCAGCATTCCAAGGAAATATCCTCTAGAAAGGCAGATTTGCAATAGTGGTGATGATGTTTGCTGTAGCAGCCAAACATCAAGGTCATCGGAAAGATTCTACAGACCTACTAAAGTGTTGACCTTTTGTCTTGAAAACGGTTGACTTTTAGAATTGTTATGGTGTATATCTCTTGCAATTCTTTATGCGTCTGAAAAATACATTTTTATTGTTCTGCAGAGCTCCCAGTCACATATTGGGTTATTGTTTTAAATGCTGAGTAAATAACATTCCTTTGCTTTTGCATTATTCTCCTCCGGCTGCTTTCCTACCCCCACCGCCTTCCATAAAATGCCTGATCCCATGCTCTCTAAATTCAGTGGAAATATGCTGGTTGGCTTTAATGGCAGACAGGTTAGGTCCAAGGTAAGCATTAAGGATTTCACCTCTCTTTAATTATTGCTTCCCCAGTCTAGAGAAGTGTCACCAGCATTTCATTCCTGCCACTTCCACTTGCTAAAAAGTCAATGGTTTCAGAGTAGCAGCCGTGTTAGTCTGTATCCACAAAAAGAACAGGAGTACTTGTGGCACCTTAGAGACTAACAAATTTATTAGAGCATAAGCTCTATATGCATCCGAAGAAGTGGGCTGTAGTCCGCGAAAGCTTATGCTCTAATAAATTTGTTAGTCTCTAAGGTGCCACAAGTACTCCTGTTCTTTTTAAAGAATCAATGAAATTCTTGTATAGTCTATTGAGACATGACAACATAATAGCTTCTAAGACTTTTAAGGCCAGAATCACCTGTGATCATCTAGTCTGGCCTCCTGTATAGAACTTCACTCAGTAATTCCTGCAGCAAACCCATAATTTCTACAGTACATCTCTTACTCGCACCATGGAAATCTTGCAGCCAAATAATCCAGCCTCCTGTGTCTCAGTAATGAAACTTCTTGGATACTGTCACTGGGAAAGCTGTTGGCATTGGGTTTTTCTTTTCTTACCCTAAAAGCAGACACAAAAGAGTGTGTCTACACACTGCATCCATGGGTCTGATTTGCAGCTCATGTAGATATACTGAAGTGAGTATGTACCCCAGGGGTCTGGTGGGCTTGTGCAGCCAATACCGAAGCCCATGCTGCAGCATCTTCACTAGCTGTACAACTAGCTAGTACAGTTACATCTACGTGAACTGCCATTCATACAGCCAGCTGTAACATAGATGTACCCTGAGGGTATGTCAACACTACGAAATTAGCTTGATTTAATAGAAGTCTATTTTTTTAGAAATCAATTTGATACAGTCGATTGTGTGTGTCCCCACTAAGTGCAATAAGTTGGCAGTGTGCGTCCACAGTACCGAGGCTAGCATCGAATTTTGGAGCATTGCACTTTCCCGCAGTCTCCGCCACCCACTGGAATTCTGGGTTGAGGTCCCAGTGCCTGATGGGGCAAAAACATTGTTACAGGTGGTTCTGTCGTCAGGCCCCCTTCCCTCCCTCCCTCTGTGAAAGCAATGGCAAAAAATCGTTTCTCGTCTTTTTTCCTGGGTTACCAGTGCAGACGACATACCACGGCAAGCATGGAGCTCGCTCAGCGCACTGTCACCGTATATCTCCTGGGTGCTGCTGGCAGACGCGGTACTGCAGTGCTACACAGCAGCATCCCCTTGCCTTGCCTTGTGGATGGCAGATGGTACAATACAACTGCTAGCCGTCATCGTCGTCCTGTGGGTGCTCCTGGCCGACCTCAGTTAGGTTGGTCGGGGGCGCCTGGGCAGACATGGGTGCTCCTGGCCGGCCTTAGTGAGGTCGGTTGGGGGCTCCTGGACAAAAATGGGAATGACTCCAGGTCATTCTCTTCTTTAAGTATCATCTAATGGAGATTCAGTCCTGCCTGGAATATCATGCCAGCTGGAGGCTTCTGCCTCAGGCTGCTCTCCTAGTCGGCAGCACCGTGCAGTCGCACATACCCCAGCCTACCCTTTGCTCCCATGGCTCATGAAGCCTGGACAGTAAGGAGCAGTTCGACTATAGGCTGAGCAAGTGCAGAATGGTGGTAGAATGTGCCTTTGGACGTTTAAAAGCTCGCTGGCGCAGTTTACTGACTCGGTTAGACCTCAGCGAAACTAACATTCCCATTGTTATTACTGCTTGCTGTGTGCTCCACAATATCTGTGAGAGTAAGGGGGAAATGTTTATGGCAGGGTGGGAAGTTGAGGCAAATCGCCTCTGATTACGCGCAGCCAGACACCAGGGCAGTTAGAAGAGCACAGCAGGGTGCGCTGTGCATCAGAGAAGCTTTGAAAACCAGTTTCATGACTGGCCAGACTACAGTGTGAAAGTTGTTTGTTTATCCTTGATGAAAACCCGCCCCCTTGGTTCCCTCTACTTCCCTGTAAGCCAACCACCCTCTCCTCCCCCCTTTGATCTCCGCTTGCAGAGGCAATAAAGTCATTGTTGTTTCAAATTCATGCATTCTTTATTAATTCATCACACAAATGGGGGTATAACTGCCAAGGTAGCCCAGGAGGGGTGGGGGAGGAGGGAAGCACAGGGGTGGGGTAGTTGTAGGGGCACCCCCTAGAATGGCATGTAGCTCATCATAGAAGCGGCATGTCTGGGGCTCTGACCTGAAGCGGCCATTTGCCTCTCTGGTTCTTTGGTAGGCGTCACGCGGCACTGCTGCGGGTCCCTGTTATAACCTCTGTCCTTCATGCCCTTGGAGATTTTTTTTTCAGGAGACTCTGAAGTTTGAACTGTTTCTGATTGCTCTGAGAGGACTATCCTTTCTTCAAATTGCTATGAAATTAGTTCTGGAACTGCAGCTTCACTTTCCTTGTGCTTGTGCTATTATTCGTATCTTTTAAGTATCTAGAGTTTCAGGCTAAGCCAGGGGTAGGCAACCTATGGCACGGGTGCCAAAGGCGGCATGCAAGCTGATTTTCAGTGGCACTCACACTGCCCAGGTCCTGGCCACCGGTCTGGGGGGCTCTGCATTTTAATTTAATTTTAAATGAAGCTTCTTAAACATTTTAAAAGCCTTATTTACTTTGCAACAATAGTTTAGTTATATATTATAGACTTATAGAAAGAGACCTTCTAAAAACGTTAAAATGTATTACTGGCACGTGAAACCTTAAATTACAGTGAATAAATGAAGACTCAGCAAACCACTTCTGAAAGGCTGCTGACCCCTGGGCTAAGTATTGCGTTAAATCAGAATCAATATCTGGCTGAGTTACTTGGGTTTCTTTTTGGCATTCTGTTTCTGAATCCCTGTTTGGCCTTTGTTGAGGATGGGATACTTTTTGTTGTTTGTTTGTTTGTTTTTCCCTAGCAGATTTCATAGTGGCTTTTTCTTTATTGTTATATTTTGCTTTAATTACAAATAGTGGAAGCCAGAAATGACTTGGTTCATCTAGTCCAGCCTCTTGCCTTGTATAGGTCTCCTGAATACTTCATTTCCAGGTCTGGTGCCTTAAACCTCCCTTGTTTCTTTGAGTTTTGGTTTGGGGGTTTTTTGTGTGTGTGTGTGTGTGTGTGTGTGTTGGTTTTGTTTGTTTGTTTGTTTGTTCT